CCAGGCGTAATTCCCCCCGAAAGAGAACAAGGATCCAATCGAAGCAATCTCATAACCTCTCGTTCCAAAGACAACAATATCTCGAGCAGTAGCGCGTGTTGGCTAAGAAAAGAATTACGTGGCCAGGCTGGAGTAAAACAGCGGCTGGTTCTGTGAGGAAGAAAGAAACTGAATTACGACATTTTTGGAGAAAGTTGGGTCGTCTTAATGCTTGTTGAGTGACTGGTGTGGGCAACGTGGCAATCGACAGCTTTGTAACTGCTCGTAATTTTGAGGGGCGTCTTGATTGGTTATTTTGTGTCATAAAAATGTTATTTCATTAAATATTGGATTAAGTTTTAGTATAGTTTATGAGTTGAATGCAAAATCCCGGACGGGTTGCCAAATAATTCTTTGAAATTTCGCAACAAACTGTTAACTCGACCTGGTTCTGGTCATTCAATTTTTCTTCTTCGGATTGAAACTAAGATACTTCAAACTTTATTTTTATCATTATCATTTTGCTAAAAATTAGAAAAATTCATGTATGAAATTACATAGATACTTCAAATTATTTCTAAATTACACGTTCTCCTGATATCATTTGGGTGAACCATATAATCTCTCTTTCAATCCTTCCCCACAAATCCTGCTTTCGTGAGATCGAGATCCAAGTTGATTTTCAGGACCCACAACCAACACGCACCACGAAACCGCAAGCGTTGTCTGTCTGTTATTTGTGGTGCTGGACTTCACTCGCAGGCTTTCTCCCATTTCGTGAGGTGAAAAAAATGACGAGAACAAGATATCTTTCGAGAGAGGAGATTTCTCTCTTTCTCTGCTTGCCACCTTGAGAACTTTAGCTGACGGTAAGAGCACAATTTGCTTTCATAAATTTTTCTACAAAATTTCAAACTCTGTAGTAATATTCATAACTTATCCGCAAATAGGGATACAGCAGTGGAGGCCCGGGTGGACAAGCGAAAAAATTATTGAGAATTGATTGAATCCAGATTCGCTGCGACTCTTCGGTCAATTCGCACTAAATTTTCTGCAACTATTTTTGCTCCGTGGCCCCTGGGGGGTAAGGCGTTGGTAAACCCGCAAACTAAGAACTAGCACGTGTTTAACCACTTCACCCCTGAGAGACGAATATTTTCATACCTTTCACCCCTAGTAACGGCGAATTTTTTCTTCCCTTGACCCCGAAATTTTCACCTACTGCATGACGTTAATTACTGAGAGATGAATTGAAAAATGGTGTTCCCACCGGAATTATTCTGGACACTTTTTTATGAAAGTTGATGCGAATAACCATTTGGGAACGGATTTTGAGTTGTAATTTGCCTTTGTGCATTTTTGCGAACGACTAATGTTTATAGCCGAAAATAGCCAACACGCCGAATTAAAAAATGATTGTAATCGCATGGAAAGTTGCACAAACATTGATTATTACGTGCATAATAGTACATATATTTGCAAAAATCGATTATCGCGCGTCAAGGGCTATAGAAGCCGATTTTGGCGGGAAAATTAAACATAGCAAATATGGCTTTCAATTCATGACATTGGCTATAAATAATTTTGTAATCAGACTAAAATGTGTAAAAATTGCTTCTTGTACATTTAACATGCATAGAATTTACGCATACTTAGGGAGGGAAAACAAACGTTTTCTTACAGTGACTTTAAATTGGTAGCAGTGGTAGTGAATAATTATAGCATCAACTGTTCGAAACCATACTTTAGCGCATTTTGAATATAACTCAATTTTAACTGGAAAATTATATGCTACTTTCCGGACAATCTTTTAATTTTTCCGCCCAACGAGATTTCATCGGCTCCAGTGGTTAGTTTTCCCGCCAAAAATTTCGTTGGGGCGTTCTAAATCCGAGAAAAACAATTTCACTAATTTTATCTGAAAGCGCTGTTGAAATATGTGACGAAAATTCCATGTAACAGCAGTTTTCAAAACTGGGCGTGTTAGCTAGAAATAGCCAGTTAGCTATAAATTGTTTTTACCTCCCGCAATTCATCTTCCCGCCCAAATGGCGGATTGTTGACTGAAAACTATATTTGGAAGAGCAATGACCTAATTTTTTTTTCTGGATACGACACATAGTCGTATGCCGGTGTGAACGGAAAATACGCCACATAGTCGTTTCCGTTGTCAAGGGTCAATACGACACATCGTCGTATTTCGGAGCCAAGGGAACTTACGCCACATAGTCGTATTCGGCGTAAAGGTCAAATACGCCACATAGTCGTTATAGGGGCGAAGTGGTTAATTCGAGCAGATGCGCAAATTCTACACGGAGAAGATCCACATCAGCACATGATAATACCAATTTCATACAAATATATATGTATTTGAACGTTAAATATCAAATTCTAGTATAAATACTTCACACCATGATCTGGTGCACCGCAGCAAATGTTGACTCAAACTAGATGAATAATATAATAGAGAACATTTTTTATGCCGCCGGAAGTTAGGATTATAAGTGTATATATGCATTTGAAATGCCATTGGAGATTGTAAAAGTGAAATCTAGTGCTACATTTAAGTCATTCAGAGATTTAGAGGATTTGCATTTGAATTTGGGGTCGTGCAATGGGATTCAACAAGAGAAGTGGAGTAAATCTTATGGAGTTTTTTTGGGGGGTTTTGGGAAATAATGAAATTCAGACAGAAGGTCGGTCCCGTAGTTCATTGTGCACACACTTTATGCGACTTAATCCACTCAATCCTTTAAGGTGAAAATGGGAGAAAGTGAAACGATGAAAATCACATACATAACCTAATAGAAGTTACATTTAAAAAATTGATGTTTTTATCATATTGTATATTTGCAGAACTTAAATTTCTATTATACAGATATGCCTCATATGTGGCCTAAACAAGCCAGGCACTGACGAAGTTTAATAATACATATTTATTAAATATACATATTTTATAAATCTTGAACAAGTGGTTTTCATGGGTTTTCTTGATTTGTACATAACTTACATGAACGCGTAAAACATGATGAATTTTCACCCATACTCCACAATAAGCATGAATTTATTCACTTCACACCCCTAAATTCGTAACGAGCACATATCAGCTACTGAAGGAAGAGCTTTCCTCATGAATAAGTAGATAAGCTCTCCACATCCTTGTATGCACTTTATGGTCATTGAATGATGCATCTTAAATAAAATCTCACCCTCCGCCCCATGGCCAAGTGATAATTTCTCCATTTGTCCACTGGAAACGTGCCAAAGAAAGAGAAAGCAAATAAATCGAGTGGATAATTTTGACTCCTGGTCAACTCTTGGCCAAAGTATGGTGACCCCATAAACTAATAGGTCTATCAAATGACTGATTGAACTATGAATGGGGGCAAATTTGTTGTGTATAAAGCAGTGAATGGTTCAACGTGTGAATATTTGTACATGGCGTGATAGATTTGACATTGCTTAAACATTCCGTAGGTTTCTGAGTCTTTTTCCTCGCAAGGTAAGTCCTGGTTGGACTTTATATTACTTTAATACGAAAATGTGTGGGAGAATACACCTTCCGAAAAAAATACAATCAAATTAGGCCTCTATTTATGTAAGAATTCGAATATGCGTATGCGTATTGAACACTCTATTCCTATTCTTATTGGCATTGCTTACACAATACTTTTCTCCTTCCATTGATAAGATTTGTACGAGATGAAGCACTGCACTCTTTAATTTTCCCGTGCAACAAACAAAATAATCCAATTAGAGAAATAAATAAGAACGGAAGAAGAAGGGGCTGATTAGGTTACACTCGTTTTCTTCTCCATCGTGTGTGCTTAGCATGGCTGTAAGTGTTTGAAAAACAGGGAGAAAGTTACGGGAATTAAGGAACCCTGCGGGTGTTAAGTAAGAGAAATTCAAACCAGTCATCCGTCAATTACGTACAAATCCCGTGTACTGGAATTTTCTGTTTCTGATCCTCCTCTTGGCGTATTGATGGCATAGTATAAATGCCTCAAGAAATGTGCAAGACAATACAAATGTGTATACGGAAACGTTTCAAAATCTATAAATGAGCAGGACGTATCAATCTCATTTATATGAACAATGTTTTCGTTGCTAAATGAAATATAAGCTAAACAAATGATATATATGATCTGCAAAAATCTGCAAATTATTTATTTTTGCAAATTGTAAATCTGCAAAAATTGGTATTCATATACATATGTAAATGTATTATGCATATAGTATAGAAATATCTGCATAAGCAGCTCCGGCTTGTTTCAACCCAGAAAGAAGTACGCATCTTTAATATTAATTAACTTGATTCACAATTTAAATTGTGGCTTTAATTACAAAGTGCAATTACGATTTTTTGTACATGCATACCTTCAACTTTCACTCTTTATTACAACTTCCACTTATGCACATGATAAGTACTTTCGTCTACTCATGTTAAAAATAGATATATGTAATTACTGCAACTTTTCTTCTAAAACGCAAGTTTCCACCTTAACGAAACTTTTCACACTTTCAACTTACTTACTTCCCTAGTTTCACTTTAGTTAGTTTTATTAGCCAAGTTTGTTGCACGAGGGAGGAAACTTGGAGATGCAATTAAACTTTGTGAGTTTATCCCGTTATTGATATTGGAATGATCGCAATCTGGTTGTTTAACATTGTTTTACTATATCGAAATATTTTATTAGTCGAATTCCAAGCTACCAACAATTTTAGTCTGAAAATATGGTGCTGCAAGACTAAACTAAACCCAACAATTCTATATTTTTGTCTACCTTCTGTAAAACTGAGTAAAGAAATCAACCCCGTCGCTGCATCCCCCAATTTCGTTATAAAGGATTTACAGGCAGAATTTTGTACGAGACTGGTGAAGAAAGCTCACCCCGACTTTTCCCCACGCCATGTGCTCCGTGATGCGCTGACTACGCCGGCCTCTCATTACCCCCAACTCGACTGGAGAGAGGGGAGAATGTTGGGAAACTACATTTCTAAGCCGCCTTTCTCCTAGAGAATGGCTCAGTCAGGACCAAACTCTTGACAAGGAATGAACCAGTCTGGTGTGAAAACTGTGTCAAAGTACGACGATTTTCGAGGAAGAATTCCCAAACTTGAGGAACAAGTTGTGTTTCCTGTTTTGAAGTGCTTTGAAAAAGTTGATAAGAAAATTGTGTTGTAAGTTTTCCTCGTGAAACAAGTCTACTAAAGTATAAATCAGTTGTTAAATAATCGGTGGTATGATTGGTGAAAATTAGCCGTGTTAAGTAACTAAATGTGAAAATACACAAGGTAATACTTTCAAAAATACTTTAACCTTTAGACTTTAGAAGTGAAAATATTCTGACTTTCTCTTCATTTTGTGTAAATGTTACCCAATGTAGAAGTTCTGTAATTATTGAAGTTTTAAATTCATATAGTAAAATAAGCGCAAAATACTGCAAGTTTGATTAACACACTTAGGATGCGTTAAAATAAATATCATGTGGAGGGGCCCCTGCCTTTCACCCCCAGATTTTGATTGCCATTGAATATATATATAGTATCCCATAAGTCTACTGAAACCCTAAAGTGGTTTTGTTCCATGGCCCCATATGCGCCTGTCACACCCACGTATCTCACTTACAATTAATGTTAACCCGGTTTGCAAAAAATTGAGAAATTAATAACAATTTTCAAATAATAATTGGAAAGTTTGTACACTTTGAAAATTGGAGCTTGAACTTAGAAAATGTGCTGGTTGAATCTTTAGTAGGAAATTAGTAATTTCCTTTAAATACAGATGCCTAACTGAAATTAACTCTCGTGTTATTCGTTTAGCTTGGGTACATAAATTTGATTAAATTCATAATTCTATCAGCAACCAAATTACCCAAAGTTGAATGCATTCACAATTAATTATTATAACTTGGTTATAGGCTAATTTGTGTATCTCAGAATGCAGCTAAGGTTCATTTCATGTAAATAAATTAAGAAGTGTTTGCCAATTACTTGAAATAATCACCGATAATTACGTTCGAACCCATTCCTTAATGTGATAAGCACAAAGTGCATTACGGCATTATAAACTTTTCTATGTATAAATATACTCTTTGGAAGCTTGTTCAATAACAAAATTTGTTGAAACACACTCACACCTTACATTAATTAATGTATACAGAATATCTGGAATAATTTGGTGATGATAAATAAATCAGTAAAGTAACAAATTACACAAAATTAATGGATTACATCACTCTTTTATGTTTTAGAGTCACAGCTCAAAATACGAATAATGATTCCTAAAGAGAAAGCTGGATCTGACCAGTGGGACGCTTGGTTGTTGGAGGCCGTTCGGAAAATACGCGCCCAGAAACAACGTCCTGACGCAAACCGAATTTACAACGCTGTTCGTTTCCTCGCTGAAAAATGTGCTCAAAATTCATCCTCGTCTACGTCACAATCAGTCAAATTCGAACCTATTCACATGGTCCTCGTCCAGAGAAATTTGGACCGTGCGGTGCGAGAACGGCTTCTGCTCAAAGTGATCAGCAAAGGGCAGACGACTTATAAACCGCCCGATAAATGCACCGATCGAGTCATGAATTTGGGAATCAGTTCGGATGAAGAGGTAATTACATATGATTTTTTTAGCTAACAAGTTAATCTCAATTTAGGCTTAAAAATAGCTGTCCCAATTTCCCCCATGCTTTGCTTAAAAATTTGGAAAGATACTTATTTCCAATCTTTTCCAGATTTCGAAATGCTTCATAAAAGTGCTCCGAGAACTGAGCGAGCCCGACCCCACAATTCGTCAGCAACCTTATTCCTCCCCACTCTTGAAAAAGCCCCCCTCGGGTTTCACCCTCGACCAGATAATCGACTACCTGACGCAGTCCCACGTCCTCATCCTCCCACCCGGCGAACAGGACGACTCTCCAGCCGACTTTCTCCACGAGAAGCTGAGCGTCCTCTTGGAAAAGGAGATCCTCTGTCGCGGGAGGGTCGAGGTAATTGACGGAATTTACTACAAAATTAAGGAAAAGCAGGATCCTGGATTAAGACGGAACCCACAACAATCTGCAGTCAAAGTTACTCTAACAGACAATCAACAACAAGTCCTGCTCGAAAGTGAGGACACAGTGAAGCGAATTGTTGACGAAAGCGTGTCAGGCTTATTACAAAAAGCGGCAAAGGATGGTTCAACAGTGACTTTCACCCTGACATGTACAATGTCAAATACCACTTCAAATTCTGCTCCAAACCCGACAAGCTCAATTCCCAACATTCACATAGATATTAAAGAAACGAGAAAACGTAATCGATCACTTTCACCAGTTTCGGGCTCTGAAAGTGGTTCGTCCTCATCGTCATCGTCGTCGTCGTCGTCCAACAGAAACTTATGCATGACACGACGAAAGATAAAGGCGCCCAACATAAGGTTGACCCCACCGCCACCAAAGTTGGTCAGCAATGAAAATTCACCTGTGTTTGGAGTGAAAAGTTTTTCCCGTGCTCCACTTTCAGATTCGGAAAGTAGTTGTTCATCAAAACTTTCATTAAAATCGCAGAAAAGCAAAACAAATATGGGACAAAAAATTCCGGTGCCAGGGTTGACCTCTCCAAATCCAAATAAGACAATCAATGATACAAACCGGTCAGCTCAAACTTGTGCTAAGAGACGATCTTTGTCACCCGTTTCGGGATCGGAGAGCAGTTCGTCTTCATTGTCGTCAACTTGGTCGAAATCTTCTAAAGGAATTGGTTGTGAAAGTGGAACGGAGAAAGTTAAGGTGCCAAATGTGAGACTGACCCCAAGAGTTGGCTCTGGTGAGAATTCCGCACTGAAATCTCAACACGTAAAAATCCCCAACGCTGGTTGGAGCATTACTGATATCGCATCCGCAATCGTGCAAAAGGTGAGTGATTTAATTTTCAATTTATTTGTTTGTTGCAGAACTTTTACTACAAAAGAATGAGTGCCTGCATTACATATGTACATACAACTTCCACGCAAAGAACAATCAAAATATTTCCCAGGAAAAAGTGAACTTGTCTAAAAAAAAGGCATTCGCTTTCCACAAAAGGTTGAAATGGTTGATTAAACTTTGCAATGAAAATGAGACTTTGATTGAACTTAGCACATTTTTTCTTTCATGTCATTCAGTGTAATAATTGATTTGCTCGAGTGGAAAATTCATTTGACTGGTTTTAGTTTTCTAGTAAAAAGAATAAATTACTTTTGAACAAAAAACAGATCAGATTCTACAAGAGCTTAAAATCAAATAAAAATGTGATTCTATTTGTAATTTGTGTTTATTTTCTTTGAATATACATATGTATCAAGATCAATTGGATCCACTAGTGACTAGGTGGATACATTTTATCAAGTGGATTCCACTTGATAAATTTCATTAAGAAATCAGAGGTTTAGAACCTAGATTTAGCATTTTTATTGTCTAATAATATTTAATCTCGTATTACTCGTATATCACTTCGTTTCCAATCTATTTTTCACCCCCATTCTGAAAATTGAATATGGTAAAATAAATGTGCCCTCATAAAAATCAAGTCTGTACGATGTTAAGAACGAGAATATTGTTCAGATGTACCATTTTAATCTAGTCCATCCTGATTGTCACCATTATGATGTAGAGACAGGATTTCGAGACAAATCGGTTGTGTCAGAATAAATAAACCTCTTGTTGAGACTTTTCTCTCACTTTTTTCGTGATGGTCGGAGGGGTAAGGGCATTTTTACCATTTTGGTCTCATTTGAAAATACAGACTATTAGAATATTTTCTCGCAGAGGAAGTTTATAAGTAAGACAAAAAACATCAGCGTAAAGCAGGTTGTCTTTTTCTGATGAAAATAAAATATAAATTGAGGTTTTTGTGACAAAAAATATTAATCGTTAATAGCATTTTGTGTCTGGAATATAAAATATTGTTTTTGTAGCTGTTTTACTTTTCTTTCTGGTTTGCATTTTTAAGTAGCAAAACCGAGATAAAACTGACAAACTTCCCACGATAGTCTGACACGAAAGGAAGCAATTTTCATTTTTAATGTTACGATTGCCAATAAATATTCAATAATTTGTATTATTAATAACCCGGAGTTGATTCAGTTTAACTGATCTGATGCGGAAGACTTAAGATCGCTATTATTAACCAATAACATTATCATTCATTAAAATAATTTCTACAAGATGAAAAATTTGAACAAGTTAAATTCCATAATTTTGTTTTTTATTTAAAGAATATGGGAAATGTAGTTAGATATGTTCCACGTTACATTTTGCATATCTATTTAACGAAATGTATGTATTCATGAATATTTAGAAATTATTAGATTGTAATTTATCAAATTAAACTTACGAAAGAAGTTAATCATGAAATTTTTTAAAAAATTCAATACTTTGTCCAATTTGATTTAACAAAATTTTAAAGACCTTGTCTTTAAAAGCCTACCTGCGAATTATGAACCCCACAGTTCAATTGCTTTAGTGTATGAAACAATTTTTTCTATGGTTGAGCCCCGCAAAGAATCCAGGGCCAGTCAAACTAACGAGGAGAAAGTGGATTTCGTTTTATGATTTCTTCTTCATTTCCTCCCCTCATAATTACCCCGCAGTTTGCGTGGACGATGATACCGGCTCTCCACTCAAATCCACTCTCATCCTACATACATACTTTGTAAAACAGTAAAACCCGTATTCGGGCATTCGGTAGGTTTACTTTCTCTGAAATATAATGGGGACGAAGATCTAGTAATAAGTAATTGAGGCCGCGTAGTGTCGTGCAATGAAGATGAGAAGCTTTTATGACTCTCTTTCTCCATCATTATAAGATAAGCCCTTATCTCATTCATTTCTTGGGGAAAGTGCCTCTCATCTTTATCCACGGATATGGGTATATTTACATCTTAAGAAAATGATGCTTGAGCAAGTAGGCAATCGCAATAACATAATCGTTAACTCATTTCTCGATTTGTTTTCATAATGGGAAAGCAATAAAGAGCGGTTGGGGTTCTGGGATTATTTTCTCAGACAATCCGATCACTTGAAAAATAACCAAGTATTTAATAACTATTAATAAGCATTCAATCCTAATCTAATATGAGCTTCAATTCGTGCAACATTAAATTGGGATGTAAGATATAAAATTTTGTCATAATTTTAATTTTAGAGGAACATTACACCCTCAAACCTGTCTCGAGAGAAGAAAAACCTGAATAGGAAGAGGAAGAAGAAAGTGAAAGCAAAAATCCAGAAGAAAGACCAAATTTGCCCTGAAATTGAAGAACTTGGAAAGGAAATCGAGGTTGATTTAGATGTTGCGAGTTGTTGTTCGTCCTCTTCAAGTAGTTGCAAGGTAGGTTTAATTAATTTTTAACATATGTATTCTCTCATTGTTTTTATTTGCTTGCTTATCAACATCTTTTATCAGCGTCATACAATTTTCGTCAATTTTGTATGATCTGAAAATTATAAAATTTTTGCAAAAAATGATTAGTTTGCTTTTCTATTCGGCAATAACTTATTGAGAAGTGGAATAATTTTCCAAGTTTTACTAATTTATTAAAGATTTATCATGTTATGGTATTATACAACTTTATGCAATTTTACTTTTGTTTAACATACGACTCGCCTTTATTTGCTGTCCCGGTGGAAATCTAGACATTATTATTTAACAATTACAAAATTGTCAAAATCTCGTATACAACCTTGAAAATACACAAATTCCAAACAATTAAATCTTGCAGCCATAACTGCAAAAATATTTTGCATCTCAGTCAATAAGTGAAAAATTCAGTTTTACTGCACTACCATATTCAAGAACCCAGTTAGTCCTTTATTAAAAAGATGGAAAAATCGGTAAATTACGACTCTTTTTATTCTGCCCTTAAAACCCGGGTGGTATCCGAGGGAACGAAGAAAGTAAATGATTTCCCCTCAATTTCACTCTTTCAAGGCCGCAATTGTGGTGAAAGTTAAAACTTATTTTGCTTCGAAATAGGCACTTTGCATCCGAATTAGCTTCATCACCATTTTTATGGTCCTAATAACTACGAGATGAGCAAAACAGGGGCAAAGAAGTAGAAATAATAATCTCAAGAAATCCAAACCAACCAAGAAACTAAAAACTCTAATGCCAGAAACAAAACCAGATTTCTTTTTTATTTTTAAATGAGTATCTCTCCTGGTCATGATTAACCTCAACATTTCTGATTTTTTTGGGTAGGAAAATGAATATTTATGTAGATGGAGAGGGGAATTTCCTTCATTGCTGTCTCGTCTGAGGAGTATTGTTGAATATGTAAAACTTTCTTTTCATCAGTGGCCTGCGTGGAATAAATTGCACAGATATACAAAACTACTAATGGAATACACCAGATTTTCATCATTTCACATACTTTTAGAATCAAATAGATGTCCTCTATATGCATTTTAGGGGCAGTGGTAAGAATAAATGAGGAAGTGCAACCCTGTATTTCCTAAAGCTTATTTTTCCTCCCTCATTACTGAAAATTTGGATTCTGGATGACGATGAGTTGGAATAAGAAATTGTAAACGCAATTAAAAATTCAAAGGTGTTTGGTTAGCAGTTTCTTCTCTCATGCGACGGGAAAGTTTTCATTCACGTCTGAGAGAAAGTCTGTAGATCTTGGAAAGATGCTAAAGTATGATTATTCCATTCTTTCCGCAGAAATGGGGGTCGAGTTATGTCACGCGAGACGAAAAATAAAATCTCGTGGTTTACACTATTTACATTGTAAAATAGTGGAGATAGTGAAAGCAGACATAATTAAAGTTGGATATTTCTTGGTTGCTTTCTCTGAAACTTTTTTCTTTGTGAATAAGGTAATCATATTTTTGTGAGGTTAATGACTCTAGAAAAGTGGAATTTCGTGTTTAGTTGTCCTTTATATTCTCATCTTTGTAATGTAGAGTCTGTCTCATGTTGAGTGTAAAATTTTATCTGCGTTCGCTCAAAGTTTACCCACATTGTCAAGATTGCATGTACTGTTAAGCTTTCTTTGACTATGTTTTCAAATAAGCCCAATTTCAATACCGATGACCTGTAGTAGTCCCGTGTGGAGCGTTATATTTCCGACTGGATGACCAAACAGGGAAATCAATCGCATTATCACTTTCGACCCTTAATTTTTTTTGATGGTCTGTATTTAACTTCTGTCCTTCTGCTGGTTAGCAAAGTTATTTTAGATTTACGGGGACAGGAGGAGAGGAGATAATATCCAAATTCGACTATCAAATATTGAACAGTCCAGCACGAATAAATTCTAAATTCTTCCCCTTTCGTCGCTTCATCATCTTTGGTAAAGTGTGTCCTCAAGTGCTTAGTGCGATCATAAAAGTAAGTGCATGTGTCGACCCCTTCGGCTTCGAAATGGCCAAAATTATGAAACCCCTTTCTTTCGATGTATTTATGTTAGTGGAGGAAAACTCTTTGACTCGTAGAGGGAATAGTGGTCTTGTGGTTTTCGTTTTATCTCTATCTATCCTCCTTCTTTTCGTGCTTTCATCCACCCAAGATGAGAGCCATGCCCAAGTACGTTTATCCAATCAAGTAAAACCAAAACCATGCAGAACTAAATATATATTATTCCAAGACAGCTTAATTACCATCGCAGTCTCGTCGTTAACTTTTAATGTCCTATTCAGATTTCCTCTCTAGCACCACTGCAATTAATGACGTGGTTAAGCAAACGTGTAGATAAAATGGGGGCTCTCAGTTTTATTCATCTAATAAGAAGTTAGTTTTCCTCGTCTGTAATTATGGTATGAATTATCATGGGAGGAAATATGAAAGTCATGCTCTTTCAGTGGTGAAAGCTAAATAGGAGTGGATGGGTTTTAGAGAGAAAAATAAAGTCCATGTTATATACAGGTTTAAAGAAGGTGCATATTTTGATTTTTATTTAAAAGACTTGTGAAAATTAGATAATTATTGAACGTATGCGTGACGATTTGTCTGTGAGTCCCATTTCATTGAATTTGTTACAAGATAGATCCCTAAAACGGGCGGCTTAGGTGAAGCGAAGGGAATCGCGATTAAAATACTTGCAATAGCAACGAACCATAGCAATATGCAATACCACCACGTGGACAGTGGTACTTGCATTTATGAATATTGTGGCCATTTCTTAACCGATTTGGATTATCTCAAAGTTAATTGAAAGCTAAAAATATTTAGAAACTTTTTTTCACAGTACATTTTTGATTTAGGTCCTCAATTTTTTCGTATAAAGCAATGTCACCTTTTGGAGGGTGTTTTTTGAGAATATCTCAGGAATGGGTAGGCTCACAACCGACCAGAGTTGGAATCCAAAACTAGACCATCATAATTAACTCTCGGCACTTATTTCACAAAAATCCGTTAAGAAATGGTAAAGTAATGTGGTTTTGTCACTTTTGAATGTTGTAGTAAATGCATACTTAGGTGTTTTTTAATCATTAGATCACCATAGCTTCACCTAAGAAAAAGGAAAAACAAATCTTTCTTCATGATATGATACATATTGAGGAAATAATGCGTATGGATTGCCAAGAATTTGATTTACGTTTCCAAGATTGTTCAATTATAAGTTTCATATTGACAGAATTTTAATTTTGTCAAGGTATGGCGTCGCTATGGATAAGAATAATAATTAGCTATTATGTTTACATTAACCTTATAAAAACTAATTAATTTTGACCTGGATACCATTTAAAAACGGAATTTAAAATGGTTTCTATTGCTCTTGAGGGCGGACTTTCTGGGGTGCAAAATACCATTGAGACCGAGTTGTGGGGCGGTGATAAAATCAGTTGGGGACTGAATTAATGCAAACCGATTTTGATTATTCTGCTTATGCAGTTTTGATTTATTACGAACCAAGAACTGATTCGCGAACAATAATTAGAACATTATACACTTTTTGAACATGAAATTTCAATTATAAATCAACAATATAACTGAGCCAAATGGCACACACTATAAATTTTTGACATGACAGTGGGATTTGATTTTCATAGTAGTACAACAATTAACTAAACGAACAATAAATCATCATCATTGATGACATTACTATCATGATTTTGGGATGCATTATATATTTCAAACAAGTTATTGTAATCGTAACGTGGTGAATTTTGTCCAGTGTTCTGTGACTCGTTGCGATCCGCTAGTGGCACTACTTGCTGCGATACCTGCTGCTGCGATAACTGCAACTATTTGTGAATACACTACATAAATTCTCAGCAAAGATAAACAGCATGTTCTCGACTTACCATTTCGTCATGATAAAATTTGAAACAGTTGAAGACGCTGCTACCAATGCACAAACGTTTCTCGCAAGCAAGGCACTTGAACTGCGTAATCGTCCTCTTCCCCAATTTTGTTTTGCAGTGGAAACAATCGGATTTGCTTGGGTAACCGTTTTCTTTCATAACTCGTTCTGGAATATGCATATTCGCTAAGGGTACTGAGACACGGCTTTGGGAAGGTCTTCCTCTTGGCTTCCGTGCTACGGGGAACTTCGTGAGAATGTTGTGGATTATTGATTTGACGAACGCTTCGTAATTAAGACGGCGGAATCCAACTTGATCGTTTTGGGTCGTATTGTACATAATCATTGAATTATATACCGAGAGCTCGACCAAATAAAATGCGACCTTTTTATACCACTTGTATGACTTGCGGAGACTTTGGTTGGGTTTTATCGCTTTATCGACATTGTCCACCCCACCCATGGTCTTGTTGTAGAGTAAAACTGTATCTGGCTTCATTCCGTCATTCCATGGGGCATGAAAGTGTTGAGGATAAGCACTTCCCGCCTGTCCTGCCATCTTGTATGTACAAAGAGGTTCTAAATTTTTGAAAAAAAACAATAAATAGAAATATTTCACCAACCTTTCTATCAAAACGTCTCCATCACTAAAGGTTTCAACCTCTCCTTTTCTGAGTTTTCGAGTCATCCTTGCACCCCTTGGAATTCCTTTCCGTCTTTTTTGTACAGTCCCCAAAACATACGTGAGACGATCTTTCAACATCCTTGCTAATTTGAGGCTGTGGAACCAGTTATCGATTATGATGCGACGACCAGCATCTAAGTATGGCTGCAAAAGAGTCAGAACGGCGGCTCCCCCGAATCCAACAAGAGAAATCCACGAGCGGTCAGTTATCTGCGTGCTCTTGCCTTGATATGGAAGAACATCGAGAACATTCGTCCAACATATCGACGGTTTTTACAGATGGTATTAATTTCAAGCTCACACTATGTTCGTCTAGTTTAAGAGATCAGCTTATGAACATCTTAACATTTGGGAGTAAATTCTAACATCTAATTTAAAACGAAACATTTAGCAGAC